AGGAGGAGGATGGCCGCAGGAAGGTGAAAGGAGACAAAGACTGTTACGAAATGGAGGTAACTAAATGTGAACGATGAGTGAGTAATAAATGAATCAACGAGGAGATAATAACGAATCGGTAATCTGATCCAAAATGCGATGAAAAACCTTGCGCAGAGCTGGCGATGATGGAATATCGTAGCCAACATTCGACCGATCAATCGCGTCGATGAGCTTTCGAAGCTCGTTACGAATGGGCGGGGAGACGAAGAGGAGATCGAAAAGGGTCAAGGTGATGAGTGGGGATTGATTCTCGGGCGTAGGAACCGCAGTTGGCGTCAACTCGGGAAGGGGAACACGAACGGGAAGATAAATGGGTGGTGAAGGAAGGCGCTCGACAGGTGGGAAGTGCAGTATACTCGACGCAACGCTGTGATCAGAACGGGGACTGGTGCGCGGATGGACAAGGCTAGGGCGCGATGCATGCAAAGAATCAAGATCGACTGTGGGATCAACAACGCGACGAGGAATGGTAGTGGCATGGGTAGCGTGCGGGGGATTGGAATCTACGCTGGGCTCAATGATGCGAGGACGAATGGGAGCAGCTGCGGCGACGTGCGGGGAATTTGATTTCAAGGTGCGTCGGTCTGGACTCGAAATGCGAAGTGGGGTTTCGACTGGCGAATGGGACGTGTGTGGTCGGTTTAAATTCGCGATGGGTATCGCAGCCGGGATGGGACGAGGAGTGCCAATGCGCAAGACGTGAGGAACATGCGGGGGATTTAAATCAGGACTGCAGGATGACTTCGAAGGACTACGAGGCGAAATGCGAGCGGGGCGAGAAGAGGAACCCCGAGGAGACAGCAAATGCGCCGCAACTCCACCGGGATGTCGAGTCATGGGGAGGGGCGAACCATTGAACGAAACGAGACGAAATTCGAAGTTGAACATAGCGAGCTTGTTGGCAATGAGCTCGAGGGTGCGCGGGCAAAACCGAGGGTGCAAACGATGTCTGCCGGTTCCACCACACACGAAGCAGCGGCGCGATCGCTTTTTGCGAGGGGTAATAGTCGAAGGGGAAGTATCGATGTTAGAATACGAAGGGGGACGTGTACGCGACGGTGCGGACGATGCGCTGGACCGCACCGAGCGCGGTGCGATGTGGGGGTGTGAAGTGTGCGAAGTGACGTGAAAATGCGAAGGGACGGCAGCGGGGATCGTATTTTTGCGAGTAGAAGTCGGGGGGGAAATATCGAGGTTGTTATGCGAAGGGGGGCACGTACGCGATGGCGCAGACGATGCGCAGGGCGGCACGGGGTGTGGTGCGATGCGTGGATGTGGATCGTGCGAAACGCCATGGAGAGGCGAAGAGATGGCCGCGGGGAGCGTCATGGCGAAGTATGAATGAGGAATGAATAGCTGAGACGACAGACCACGCGGAATACCCTAGAAAATCCCACTAAGAGACTTTCCCCCTGCGGTGGTCACCACTGTGGAAGAGGGGAAATCCCGGGACGTAGGTTCTTAGAATGGGTCGGTAGTCCGTATAGAGGTCGAGCGAATGATGGAGATAAAATATAGGACTTGGTCCCGAGCCGTAGGGTGCAAAATGAGCGAAGAAAGAGAGTAAAAAGGTCCAAAAATGGCACGTGAAGAGAATGAGGTTGTAGGGAGGTATGTCGAAGATTTGGTGGCTAAAGAGCCCACTGGCAGCGTTCCGAGAGGAGGGGTCGAGGTCCTCCGATGGTACCTCTGGGCGCTTGCCCTGCACTGGCCGCGGTTGTCGTGGTACGAGCGTAAGATTGGATGATGTGGCACTGTTTATGATACAAATAGATGATGTAATGTAAATAGGGGTGAATGTAAAGTGAAAGTAAATACGCAATAAAAGGGGATTTCCGCATGGCGGCCCTCCGACCCTACCACACCGATATCTGCATTTCACCACCTCACCGAATGCGCTCATACTCTGCTCATTCTTCAGTCCTCACTGTGTTGATGTCTATTATCGGCTCTAACTACCTTTCTGTGTCCGACACCTCCATTCATTTCGCTCACGTCTACCTTCACATTGGGGATTCTGTTTAAACTTTGAGGCCAGAGCTTGAAACGCATTCGCCTCGCGCATATCTGAGGCGGCAGGCTCTGGACTTGTCTGACTTGGATGCGGATCAATAACGCGCTGAATATCAAACTGCTTTATAACATGCGAAAAACCGACACTGAGCGAGGCGCTCGGAAGTCTCCGAGCTGAAATCCCACTGCGGCCCACCCATCCATACTGGCATTCATCTCCCATCATACTTGGTTACTGTAGCATCGGATGGTGGGCGGCCATTTTGCTTCTTGAGTTATTCTCCCGTCAACCTTGCTCTTTGTATGCTCACGACGGAAAGCGTTTGCATTTGGGAGTTGAAAAGGTGGCCTTCTGCAGCGCCCGCGATGGCGTGGCAGAGTGCACGTTACAGATTTCAATAAAATCTCGGAAATTGCCGGTATACAGCTCATGGCCTTCTCTGGGTGAAGTCTCAAATCGCCACTTGTCATGGCCGTTAGCCATATTGGAGCCTATCCATCGATTATCCTGCAAATAGCGCCGCCGGTAACTCAAGGTCCAAAAATGATTGAGCGCCTCCTGGACGGCGCAGTTGGAGGTTTCATCTAAATAATGGCGGCGGCGGTTCAGGTTTTCCCTGTTCATGGGCGCCCCGACGTAGACGTGGGCAAATGGAAAGCCATATATTGCAACGATGCTCCGCATTCCAATTCCAAGACTGGTGGCGGCGGCCTTGGAATTGGAGTGGAGGAAGGCTGCTCAGGCTCGGCTCAGCTAGCACTTTCCATGCCGGCCGGAGCCTGAAAATCACTGCTTAAGTTGCCAGCTTTCCCTTTTCGAAATAAATCAACCAGCGCGGTTTCTAAAGCTCACAAAAGGGGCATGTTTGTATTGAAACGTTATCCCGAGTAGAAGGTATATGGGAATGTTCTGTGAGGAGCAAGATCTGGTCTTGATGTTAACATTTCTAGGTCTTGGTCCGTTAGAAGCTAGTTTTGTAGATCGAACCAGGAGTGGTTAAATATGATATGCCGGAGTGCAATCCTTGAGACTAGTCCCTTAGAGACAGACGCTTCAACACAAATGATTTGCGTTTCAAATTTGCGCGCGCTGACCTGGGCGCGCGGGCGCGCTCTGATCCGTCAGTTACAAGCACATGTGATCGTTCAGAAACTGCGCCTAACCTGAATGCTATAAAAGCCAGTCACCAAAGTCTCACTAAACTTCACTACTTGGGCCATATCTAGTCTGTAGTTAACCGCGCCACCGTGTATAGGTGGCCGCGTTATTACAAATCATCGGAGTTTGAATTCCTGCGATGCCTATTTAGAATGTCCAGGACTCCTATACTCAAAATTCCAGAGAGAAAGAGTATTTAAATCAATTTCAGACCCCAACCATCTCCTCCAATTTTCTCCTTCAACCTCCATGCTCGCGGAATCAAAACAGCAGATTATGTCAGGATTTGTCATAAATTGAGCCATCAGAGTTCAAACTCACGGTTCTTCAACTCTGCCGTCGCGAGTTAGGGGGAGAAGTTGCTCAATTTAGCCCAGTAAATGCTGCTGGGACTTCACATTTGTGAAAAATGTATTCTGGAACGCATACCAGCATCCGAATTGTTTTTGTGATTTGTAATAAGCAGGCCAGCGATCACTCGATCGAGGTTATCAACAGACTACAACATGCGAGGTATGAGCACCAATTTGTTGTAGCGTCTGTCTATGAGAGACTAGGCCATATCAAGCAGTATCGCACTGAAAGCTTCGTCTACACCACCTCATTCCCGCTCATATCATGCAGTTCTCCATCTCTGTCCTTCTTGCCATTGCCATCGCAGCTCCTGCCTATGCAGCTGTTGTAGCCCGTATCGAAGGCGACATCACCGGCAGAACTCCACTCACAGTATGTGTTATCGACCAGCGTAATTATTGGGCACTCACCGACTCCTCATAGTGGTTGAGCTATGAGGACGGCATCAGTGAGTAAACCGATGTCCGATTACATTCACAAACTCAATTGTCCGTCTAGCCTACAACAACGAGACTGCTGGGTCCGTGGTCGCGGGTACCGGCTCAGAGGTCGTCACTTGCTACGGTTTCGGCACGGCGGTAAGAGGCCGTTCTCTCTGGACCACTTGGCCTGACACTTATTAGGCGGACCGCGCCCCGATTATATCTGTAATCGACGACTGGTGTGGGTGTGTACCTATTCAGTCCCCACTGTTTATTCGAGCTAATGCTCTCTGTAGCCGGGTCATAGGCACTCAAGTGACAAACGGCCAAACTGTCTGGGTAGGTCTCCGGTCCCACTTCATTAGATATCATCTAATACTCCCGACACCAGGCCCGGTACGACTACGGGACATTCACTGTTCTTGTCAGCGGTGAAGCCATCAATGGGTATGTCCTACGTTACATGGCCAGACCAGCTCATTAACTGGAATACCAAGTTGCAACTTCGTCATCGACGGAAACTGCAACCGGCTTCTCCGTGAACCTGTTGATCAATGCAACACCGGCGGGGAAAACGGGAAACAGGTGCGTTTCACTATAATTAATTCAGCTTTCCTAGCCGTGTTGGCAACAGGGAGGATACGAAACCGATCTCTGTGGACAGTGGCGCACTGACCCCGGCAGCAACGGCTCGGATGTTTAAGTCACCGGATGAGGTGCCACGGGAGGATATTTTCACCATCAACGCTTTTCTTTTTGTTTCTGACAGTCGCCCTTTCATCTTGACTTCTCGTAACCATTTCTTATCTTCACAAACAGACAGAAAACAAGAAAAATAGGGGTGGTACCATTACTATAGAGTCGTTTAAATTTGAATTTCATGTGCCGTATTATACTATCGTATCTGAGCTTAGATCAAGTCCACGAAATGAGCATGGAACCTTGGGTGCTCGAACAAGAACGTGGGACAGGAGGCAAGAAAAAAACAAAATCGTTGGTCCATTCCATTATGTCCTCGGGTGGATTCGAACCACCGGCTCTCCCACATGGCAATATGTTCCCAGCTGATTGTGTAGGAGCGGGCTACCATGCTCCACAAGGACTTGATTCATGGGGCGAGATGCGTCATAGGTCAGGGAGTTTTTACCCTTCGCAACAAATTTGAGGACCCCCGATAGAAACCGACAACTGTGGTCGGTACAAGTTTGATCACGACGAAGCACACACTAGCACCCATTGCCTAGGTAATGAGAGAAAAAATTACAAACACAGAGTCACGGGAATCAGACGCGCATTTGGCGGGTATTGGGAACGCTTCCCGGGTGATAGATAGCTGAGAATCATCCGAGTGGGACCATGCGCCAAGGTTCAGTGTTAGTAATAGCCAGCTCTGAATCTGCTTCAGTGAGATCTATTTGTACATACCAGGCGACTAGGTATGTTTCGATATGAGTTCATTCACTGAGACGGAGACAGACCCATCAATCAGACCTTGTTACTTTGTGACCCCGTTTCAATTTCCGCGCACGAACGCGCAACTCGGAAATCATTCTCCGTAGAGATGATTTCTCAAAGGCTGCACATGAAAGAGGGGAACCAAAATATTCGAATGGACCCCAGATATTTCCCGCCAGTTATGGATGAATCCAGTTTCCAAGACAGCAGTGGTTTCGAGAACAGCAATCCCTGCAGCGATACTGCAATTCAAAGGGCAGGAATTGACGATGGAAAATTCGGACATATGATGTTCAATGTTTGACTTCGAAACTGGGCGTTATTGTTACGACGGCTACAGGGCTGGTGGAGGCTTTGGCTAAACAGAGTAGATAGATTTGCCACAGCGAAGGAAAAATGGCAAAGAAATTTCTTGTGTAACGCAGAGGCTTGATAGGTGCGCGTGAAAATCCCGCTCTACGCGTATGCACTCGCTTCGCCGGCCGCCAGGCGCTTGGAACAGCACTTGTTCATATCCCATCTGGGGTCTTCCGGCAAGGCCTAATGCGATCACGCTCGTCTGTTGCGACTGGAGACTCCAACCGGCGAGGCACGAACCAAAAAAATTAGACCTGGACCAATGAATGTCCTCGAGGAGTCAAACCAAGACACCGCTTTACGTGAGCTCTACGAACATTGTTAGGCTGCTCAACGAGGACATATCCTCTCATTTCACCGCCTCTGGGGGTGTGAGCGTTCGAAGCATTGTTCGGGCAATGCGGGCAGGGGCCTGTTCGCGAGTTTGAATCGTAGGTTCGTTTTTCTACGCTTTGTCTCCCATATACATCGCGAAACTCGCGGATATCGACGCGGGCCTGGAAGTACTGCACAAATCGAATCTCGACGAAAAAAAAGTCCCACCACTGGGCATCATGTCCTCGGGTGGATTCAAACCACCGGCTCTCCCACATGTGACATCCCATATGTTCCGCTCATTGTTTAGGAGCGAACTACGATGCTCCAGAAGGGCTTGATTTCTGGGGCGAGATCCGTCACAGGTCAGGGAGTTCTTGCCCTTCACAACAAGTCTGAGGACCCACCATAAGATGTTGAAAACCCGAAGACAGTACGAGTTGCAAAATCCGATCATAACTCGAGTCACTGGCTCAGTGGTGAAGGAAGAATTCATGAACGAGGGCCCCCAAAAAAAGGATTGTTGTAAATAATGTCCCAGGGTCGACCGTCGTCTTCCATTTGTAGCTACCAGTGTACGAGATGGGTGTTAGTGTGTACCGCACAAGGACTTTAGATCCGACAACGGACGTAATAGCTCAACTGATTCAACAAGTCGGTAACGATGAGGCAAATGTGAATGCGATTCCCCCGCTTAGTTTGAAAAATGCCCAGTCACTGTGTTCAAGGGGCTCCTAGACCCAGTTTGGCAAGGTGTGTGTAGGTCTGGCAAGGTAAGCGTAGACGGCTACACAGGCTCTGTGTAGCTGAGTCTAGGTGTGTATAGGTGTGTCTAGGAGCCTGTGTAGCCGCCTACACTCAGCTTGCCAGACCTACACACACCTTGCCAAACTGAGTGTAGGTTCGTGTAGGTCTCAGTCTAGGACCTCTTTGAACGCAGTGAGTCAACAACCTGGGTGCGGAACATCCCTTTGATCATGAGTTGCGACTGGGAAGAAGGGTGGAGCAGACACTCCGGGCCCAAAAAAAAGAAACTCTGCCTTCGTCTCGACAATGTCCTCGGGTAGATTCGAACCACCTCTTCTCTCATCAAGTGTATGGTATCGGCCCCCGGTGCAGGAGCGAGCTACCATGCTCCACAAGGACTGAATCCATGAGGTATTTTATAGGTCAGAAATATCAGTTGCTGCACAGATCGAAAAGGAAGCGAGGAACCTTCTCCGGAAAGAAAAAACGAAATATTCGAGTACTTATGTCCTCAGGTGGATTCGAATCACTCCATCTCCAGTAAAGCTCGGATAGCTGGAACCATTACGTAGAGTGAGTTCCGTGCTCCACGAGCACTTGATTCCTGACATGAGATCCCAGTAAGACCAGGAATCTGGTTTCCTGCAATAGAAATGTGACAATATGGGGGCGGCCACAAGACACAAACCATATGCTGTAGGTACAGTACAGACCGGATCTTTGAAACTCCCTTGTGCATGGGCAAAGCCGAGAGATCTGTAGTACAAGGACCTGTATATCCCTCAAATATGGCTCGGAATTGGCCATGACGAAAGCACAAACACATCCACCATATCGTACTTTTCACGTGTAGCTGCTTTCTGCTGCCTTCGCTTCCTTGGCTCGACTGTCCCGGTTTTACCTGAGGGCCTGGATGCACTGCTGATAGTGCCACTGGTGTGGTTTAATGTGGCACTGAAAAAAAAACAGTCGAACCTTACTCGCCCATGCCCTCGAGTGGAGTCGAACCACCGCTCTGTCCGTGCGCGCCACTGGAGCTCTACGAACTTGTCACCCTGCTCAGCGCGGACTTATCACCTCATTTCACTGGGTCTATAGGACGGTATGCAGTCAGAGTATTATGGTGCTGTGGGCGCAGACACACTCACATTTGAATGGTGGGTTCGTAATTCAGCGATTTGTCCCCCATATATATTGAGAATGCAGGCCAGGTTACTGCACAAATAGAGTCTCAACCACCAATGTCTTCGGGCGGATTCGAACCACCGGCGCTCCCAGTAAATCTACATGATGCGACAGTCATATCATGCAGGAGTGAGCTCCATGCTCCACGAGGACGTTCTGGTGTAATGGAGAGGCTTTCCAGGTGTCCGGTTAAATCTCACTTGCGGACAATCTTCACATGTACTGGGACTCTACTATGCCAGGGATTTCCGGTTTAATCCGTGCACCAGTTCTCCCGGTGATGGGCCATCGGCGACTCCTCGTCAGCATCGCATACCTTCGCACTGATAAGCAACACACGCAGTCAATGTTTTTCATATGGCTTTATTCTCCTCCCTGTCTTCGCCTGTCTGCCATGGGAGACAAAACTGCGTGTGGATAGAATCCCTTATGGACAGCCCCAGTAGGCCTCGTGCGAAAAAATGATTACTGAATGTCCTCGGGTGGATTCGAACCACCGACGCTCCCAGAAATGATTGTAGTTCGCACAGCGGGTGAGAGCGAGTTATTTTCTCCACGAGCACTTTCGACTACACTTGATTCCCAGACATGTGAGTATTGGATAATTCATGTCTCTGCCA